GCTCTGTCTGCTCAAGTGCGCATAGTTTCCGACTCACCATATCGTCGCACCATGCTCGTTCTCTCTATCCTGATGATAGATCTATCCCTACTCTCCCCTCCACACGCGCGTCACTGTGCACCGCCATACTGACTGCATGTCATCATCTTTACGATGCTAAACTGAAGCTGCAGCATCACTACTCCGCTCCTTCCCGCACACACATATCTCTCTCGACTCTTTCGCTTCCCTTATTCTCCCTCTCCTACCGCTTAAGCTTAATCTATACTCACTACACGACCACAAAGCACACAAAAACTAAAGACATATTTGATTCTCCTTTCCCATTCAGAAAGAGAGAGAAGAAGCACTCCCCACCCCTCCCGGCACATCACAATCGCTTTAGATTCCTCTTTCATATTTTCCTCTCGCCCGGGTGGAGAAGGAGTGCCTACCTCTTCCCCCGCGCACATCCCGATAGAGGCCGCTTCCCTCCCTCCCTGGCACAACCGAATCCAGAGGCGGCTACTGCGGGTTCCGCGTTCCAAGTCGACAGGGACGGCGGATAGGGTAGCGATGCTGGGAGGGGGTCGCCTAGAGGTGGCGGACTCCTTGGATCTGGCGGAGGGGGGGGGGGTCGCCTGGTGGCGGATCCCCCGGATCCGATGGAGGAGGATCGCCCCATGGTGGCGGCTCCCCAGGATCGCCTCATGGTGGCGGATCCCCTGGAACTGTCTTGATCCCCGCTCCCCCTAACTCATCACTGCCAGGGATGCTCCCCGTGGCTTCGTTCGGTCCGGATGCCGCCTTCATTCCTGGTAGACGTGCTCCTGTGGCCTTCGCTACCAGAGACATCGAGCCTTGGTCCGCCAAGAAGTTGAACCGGGTCGCGGTCATCTCAATGAAGATCACGGTCCTGTTCCCTGAGTTGCCTTTTCGAGCTGAATGGATATTCCCTCGGACGGCGGACGCCATCCCGAGGGCTGGGTACCTGGATTCGCTCGTCACCAGACCTCTCGTGGAAGAACTGACAAGTGCTGCCCCGTGGGATACGCTGGTCACCACACCGGTGGATCTGGTTAGCTTCAGGGGTGATGTGC